GTGGGAAGGGACCTCTGGGATCATCTAGTCCCACTCCTGCTCCACGAGGGTCACCCAGAGCACACTGCATCATGTCCAGGCACATTTTTCATATCTCCAAAGAAGGAGACTCCACAACCTCTCTGTGCTCTAGCATGTCCAGTGCTATGACATGGGCCTGGAGGACAAACTGGCTGGGGGCTTTGGAATGATGAGTTTCTATTGCAGTGCTGTAGCATATTGTCTCAYAGCTGCTGAAGGAAGCCGGTTTCCAGAAGCGTGTTGCTGAATAGCTCCTTTTTAGACAATTGAAGAAAAGGAAAAAGAGGAAGAAAACAACCACCCCAATATTACTGAGAGTGTATCAGCAACCACCATCCTCCAAAAATCATTCTTTCTGGCTCCTTAGGGAGTCACAGCTGCTGCAGCAGAGCTGTGGGAGATGGGGGCCACCAGCAGCCCCAGTTGCCCGGGCTGCAGCGTGACCGTCCTCCTGAATCACAGAATGGTTAAGGTTGGAAGGGACCTCTAGAGATCATCCAGGCCAACCTTCCTGGCGCCCCTCTGCTTCTGGTCACAGCCAAACTTCACACAAGATGATGGTAAAGGAAGCCCAAAAGTTTTAACTCTCTAATGGGCTGGTGTTTTCTACAAAGGTATTTCCAGCCCGCAGCCACGAGGCTGTTCTAAGAAATCAGCAATTATAAAAAAAAAACAAAAAGCATCTCCTCTCTTCTTTGAAAACCTGCATGTGGTATCTCCTATCAGAATAACAATGCAGCTCCGCTGCTGTTCACTTCTTTTGCAAACCACTGAACATATTTGCAGAGGAAATGGTTAAAAAAAAAAAAAGAAAAAAGAAAAAGAAAGAAAGAAAAAAAGGTCTTCATTTTATATTAGGAAAAAAAAGACGTAACTAAACTTTCATGTCCTTTGACTAAATCTTGTTTGGACAGCTTATATGTCTCACAGTCTTACTGTTATTGCCTACTCTTCAGAATTAGAGTGAGAGTAGGAAGATAAACATAACACTGTGATGCACAGCTCGATATGGAAAGGGATCACTCTGCTACACGTGCCCCACGCTTCAGTTCTAATGCAGGGATATGGTTATCTATGGGTGAAGGAGATGGAGCAGCCTCTAATATATTGACACCCTTTTCATTTCGGAGATGGTGTCACAAACTGAAGAAGAACTCGGATTCGCCACGCTGCTGTGGTTATTTTCTCTGCAGTATCAGGTATTTTCTGTACTCAGATCTGCACATGAGATTTTTGAGAGCAATAATGCATTTGCCCAGAGCATTCAGAGCTGTGTGAACACAGAGAAAAGCTGGAGTCAAGATTTAGTGAGAAAAGCCGAGAGAAGACTTTTTTTTTTTTTTTTTTTTTTTTTTTGCTGTAGTTTTAAGTATTAACGTTATAAAAGGCAGCAACTCCTATTTTAAGTTCCTCAAAGGAGCCTTGGGAGCATTTCTAACAAACCTAGTGCCTGTGAAGGCATTTGACATTGAGAGAGGAGCCTGCTCTCTGGCTGCAGAAGTGCCTTTTTAGCCAAGCCCACACTGAAAGCTTCACTGGCACAGCRAGCACAGTTAGACACACAGAGCCAGGGCTTTTGATTCTTTTTTATTTTTCATTTATCTTATTTTTGAATGACCTAGCTGCAGCATTGGTGCCTCACTACAGATTCAGCTACTCCTGAGCGAGTAATTGGGTTTTTTTTTTTTGCCTGTATGGCCAATTGCTCTGCTGAGCTGGAAGAAAACTACCTCTGCAAACAGGCTTTTGCCAAAACACCTTTTTGTCTTTGTGGCTTTGAAGGAAGCCAAAATATAGATAAGACTTTTTGAAACAGTTCCTTGCTCAGTTAGATTGGACACACAAAGTGATAAAAATAAACCACCGTTTTCTAAACGGTACCATTTTAGCCCTCATGCAGGAGCAAAATCTTCTCCTCRTGAAAAAAACACAGCAAAATGTGGGCAGCTGTGACGAGAGAAGCAGAAATGCCGCTTTCAGCTCCCCTGTACTCCCTTGCCTAGGCAGAGCTATATAAGAGAGAAGAAAAGGGAGATGGAAAACCCATTTCCAAAGGGATTGAAAGGATTCCTAGAGAGAAAAGGGACAATTAAAGTGCACATGGAAAAGTTCTGCCATTAGAATTACATTATTAACTCTTTTTTTTCATATTAGATCACCAGAAGTGTCTTTACATGGAACACTAAAAAAAAAAGTAGTCCTGGAAAATTAAAACCCACATGGAGCTGCTCCCTCCTGCCTGGCACACTTGCTAATGTCACTGGTCTTGGTAAGGTGAAAACAGGAATACWAGAAAAAAACAGCAATGGGGAGCACCCACAGACACCCTTGCAAAGTGGCACTTCTCATTTCTGCTGGTAACAAAAGCATGAGGACACTGTTGACTAACACAACTCCCTCATCCTTGGCTGGCTTCAGAAACCCTCTCCACAAGGGTGAAGGTTGGGACAAGGTGAGCCTCTTAATAAACCAGGGAATTTGGCATATCTAATGATTGCTTCTGGCTCTTTTCCTCCTTACCTGTAATGATTTCCCTGTGAGTGTTCTGCTTGGCTTGAAGAAAGCAGAACTTGTGGTTGCAGGTGCTTGACCTGCCCAAGGCCACCTGCTTCATACAGAGGTATGAGGTGGACCTACCCAACCAAGGAGTTCCATGCTCAACATCACTGCTTATGGGCTGTCTTGGTACAGAAGTACTTCACACACAGGGTAATTCTGCCAGCATGCAATTACATAGCACCTCAGATAACCTACTATTTATTTTAACATTACCCACCTGAGAGAGACACAGCTAATGAATCTATTTTTGTAGAAATGTAAAGGTTGAAGTTGAGAGCTAAGTTTGGAGCAGAAATATATGTATAAAAAAGTTAAACCTGGAAATACTTTAATGAAAGCAGGGAGTAATCACAGCAAATTACAGTGAAACTTTTATGGGATTACATTTTGCATTCCCAAGGAACCAACAGGCTTCATCACAGTTAATGTCACTCCATTTTGGATAAGTTATATAAGTAATACAGTGTGATAAAGTAAAAGCTGTCCTAAAAGTTATAATCTAAGATGTTTTTCAAAATGGAGTTCAGATTTCTTCTCACTGAGTCCATGGGAAAAACACAAGATATGCCACAAAAAAATCAGAGAGAAAATTATAATATTAAGAGGAGTATAAGCCACATGTTTTATTCTGTCTCCATTGATAACAAGGTCTKTTTCCCCCAAATTGGTTTTCTAAGCTCTGGAAGTTAGAAATCAACCAGTAGTTCATGTGGCAAGAAAGTTCCTTCCAGAAGGAGAAAACCACTGTTTCTGAGTGTATTTCCAAAAATTGCCATTGAATTTCCTTTCTCTCCACCAGCTAACGCAGGTGGACACAGTTTGCAGCAGCTGTGCTAAGAGGAGCATCTCGGCAAGGCACCGTGACTAGCACCTAGCCGGGCTCCTCCACCACCTCATCTCAGCAGCATGTGAGTTACCCTGGTATTCTTACATCGAGGATTCACAGCCTGCCTTCTAGCAACAAAATGAAACAATTTAATACAGATTTTTACCATATGTAGTGATTTTCTGTGCTTTTAACCAGATCTCCAAAATAAGAAGAAGCTGGGAACTTTTGACATCATTCCACTGCCATTGCAGAGCTCTGCATGGTGAGCTCAGCGAAGAAAACACGTTGACTTTTCAGTTACAGTGTCACGGAGAGTCTCTCGAGGCTAATTCTTGATGACAGCCTGTATAAATACCCTGGAACATGCACAGACCCACAGCCTGGCCTTATTAAAGGCAAGACAAGTTTTMCTACTAAATTCAACAGGATCCTGAATAGCATGAAGTAAGATCTCTGCCCATAAGGCAAAAATAAAGGCTAGAAGAAAGGTGAGAACTGCAGCCTATGTAGTAGCTGCCATGAGGAGAGGAGGTTAAGGGCACATCCCTCTCCAGATGAAGAAACACTACTTTAAACATTATGAAAATAGCATAGTTTTAAAACAACAAGGCATATTTCTATAAAAACTTTCACCCAAAAGAATCAGTTTAGCATTAGCTATAGAAAATACTTACCCATCAAAGGGAAAAAAGCTGTTCTGTGCAGCAGCACCTTATGACRCATTAGCTTTCACAAATTTTTGAACAGTGTTCACTTCCATTGCTTATTTAACAGCCCCATTTGCAGCTGTGCTGCTAAGGAACTACAACTTGTTGCCACTTCTCTGCTTTCACCCCACTACAAAGCACTGCCGATCACACGTTTCATAATAAAACAGAGGAAATGCATAAAAAAGCAGCACGTCATGTGTCCTCTCAAGATGATGTTGATTTATGAAGCATAACGTATGAATACGATCTGCTACGGAGTATTAATCCTTTCGGAGGAGAGACTTGTGAAGCAGAAAATTCCAGTTATATTTAKCTTTTCCAAAGTTTGTGGAAATGCATGTGAAAGACAAAGCAAGAGGAAGGAGCCTCTTGCTTCCAGTTGAACACTGCAAAAATGTACTTAGTTTTTTAAACTCAAACTGTGCAAGATGGGGGGAAAGCTGCAACCACATTCTCAGCAGGTGAACCTGCCTTCTAGGAGGATGCCCAGCATTGAATTTAAGCAGCACTTTCTATGGACACATCGGAACTGCCTCACGCACCAGCCTGCACTCAGCTCTTGCGGGCAGATGCAGCAGAGTGGTGGAGCACAGACCAAGCAAGTGGTTACTGTGGAGAGCAGGAGGCTGGAGTCAGTTTTTGTGACACTTGACAGATCAGAGGACTTTTGATCTCCCAGGAAAGTCTTTACTAATTGGCAAACAGAAGCAAAGACTCAGGGCATCTTCCAGGTAATACCTGTCATATTGAGAGAGAGGTTGTCATGAAAGTTAAATCAAAAAGTAGAATCTCATTAATCCTCTACACTTCAGCCAAGGCTGATTTCTGGCACAGAGAGATAGAGACAGAGTTCAGAAAGGAAAACAAGAATGTTTAGTTACCTTTTCTGCAAGCCAGCCTAGGTGCCTTATCTCTCGACTTCCAGCAATCCCTGTCTTACCCAGCTGGTCTCTGACCTCTGCAATCGCCCTGGGGATGAGATCATTGACACTGGAGTGGATGGCATTGAACCAGGCCTGGGCTGTAGCTGAATCCTTACTCCTCAGAATCACGGTGTGCTTGGCATCAGGTGAATGAACTTCAATAAGTCTAGAAAAATGGAGGGGGGAAAACATTATGTTCACTCTAGAAACTTGAATACTGTCAGGTGGCTACATTTATTATCTAGCTTGCTGTTATAAAATAGGATACTAGTAGTAGGAAGAGCTACCACTAAAAACTTACCTTTAGAGTGGCCAAATATAATGGGATCTACCTGGTCATACTTGTACTGATGCTACCATAAAATACTGGTCATTAGAAAGGAGATTTGCCCCTGCTGATCCAACCCAGAATGCCAACTGAGATTCCAAACAGAAAAGCAAAAGTAAATAATCTGTTGCTTTAAAAGATACACTGCTGTTTTCCCCTGGGGCCATCCCCGCTTAGCAGTTCCTTAGGCTTTGGACTCTGCTGTGACAACCAAGGAACGGTGACTATGGACAAGCTGGACATAAGCAGCTGCCTTCCTTAGCTCTACATTGAGGCACTGCTGGAGCTTCTCAATGTGCTTATTTTATATATACAGAGCTATATGAAAGGGCCCTAATCCTAAATAGACAAGTTATCTTGGGATTCCATTGTGGGTTCCTTGACACCACTAAATATGAACCAAAAACCCAACGTAATTGGGCTTCTCCATGAGTTACAAATAACCTGAACGCTCCATTGAGATCCTGTTAACAGTGGCAGCCAGAATGTGCTAACCACAACCATACGATGGCTGCTGGCAGGCAGCTTTTATGGTTTTCTTAATTGATGCCAAGACAGATGATTTTCCCCAAAAAACATGCTTACTAGGCTGTCCTGTGGGCTTTCACCCCACAAGTGTGGTTTCAAAGGCACAGACGAACACAGGGAATTCARGGAAAACCCTGTGTGCAGTGGTTGTGGGAACTGTGCAACACCTCTGCTAGCAACAAGAACCCTTTTGAAGGCAGCTACTTCAGCGATGCTCTTAGTGAACTTTTAGTTAGTGGGGCTCTGTGCACKCTCCTGTATCTCTGTGGGCCACCTTCATCTGAGCACTCCCTAAATAGTCCAATAAGTAACAGTCTGATTTATCTTTACACAGTGACTGCAAAAYCAAGGTCATTGCCTATCACTCAGCTCCATTCCACATTAGTGCTTTTTCATCACATATTTTTTCATCAAATAATACTATGATTTCCACCCAGCACTACCCACACAAATTCAGTGTGAGATTTGGGAGCAGCCACACACTTGTGTGTGACCCCTGGGACACACAATGATCCTTTCCTGTATCAGAGAAGTAATTAGTAGAGAGGAATTTGTTCGCATTGCAGTTCAAGACAATATTGTAATACAAATATTGGTTATATAATCTCAAAATCCTGCAATTTGGGGCTTAATTAACAATTAGAAGTTTTTAATTAATTGACTAAAAGAGGCAGAACGCAGAAGAGGATCCAGCGGAACCGGCGCTGTGCTCCAGGGTGAGCGGAATTAGGCCTGTTGGTCTTTTGTTTGCCCATTCTGGGAAGGGGCCATCTACACAGAGAYGCTGCTCTAAAAATAGAAAAGGTCACCAATTTCCAAGCTAAGCAGCTGAACAGTCCAGGGTCCTAAATCACTGTTTAGATAGCTGAAAAAGTGGGTTGATTTTTCAGAAAGTGCTGAGCTAACACAATAGCCCGTGTGTCCTCAGTACTGCTGCTGGAACTCGGCACTCTTGGAAAATAAAGGCCCTTGTTTAGCTATTCCAGTAGGCACTGAGCTTTCAGCTTCAGGTACTGAAGAAACAATCGTGGTCACACAATGGAGATCCAGTGATTATGAAAATCCTGTTTGTAGATATGCACTTTCTTCACCATATTCTTACTTTTTTTCTTTTTAACCACAAGAAAGCTGCCTCTGGAGCAGCTATTTAGCTGATTTAGCAATTTGTGACTAATGATCATTAAGATCACACATAGCTCCCACAAGCTTTTTCTTCTTTTCACCAGAAATTCCTGGCCACTTAATGCCACACAAACTGGAACTTGTACTCAGAAAACCATGGAAACAAATTGGACTTGGATTTTAAAAGGACATTGTAGCAATTAGGGAATTGTTACCTACTACTTAAGCAACACTTTTTGTAATGAGATCTCAAAGCATTTTACAAAGAGGGTTCAGTCACAGCATTCCCTGCTTTTCCCACCAGAAAAACACCCAGAGAGGTGTTGAGATTTGTGCATAATCCAGCTGAGGCTGGGAACGAGGCAGGAATATCACTCACTACTTCCTGCACTCTGCTCCCCACTTTAATACTTCTTTTAGAGTGGGAAAAAAAAAATGGGGTGGCAGGCAGTACAGAGTCGTTTTTCCAAAAGGTTTTGGAATTGCATTTGGAGAAACAACAGTCTGAACCAAGCATGTCATTTCTGTAAGAGAACTCCCACCTCCAAGTCACTATGTGTCATCTCCTAAACAAAGCGCTGAGCAGGTATTATAAATACATCCCAAAATGTGCTCCTTTTACAGTTACATAGGAACAGCAGTGGGCTCGTGTCATTTTGTTTTAACTTAGTAGCTGCAGCAAGTTTAGGTTTAAAAATAAACTATCTAGGGCTGAAAGTCCTTCCAGATGGCAACTTGCTTCCCCACAAACTGGAATTAGCGCTGGAGTAACACTTAAGTGCTATTTAAAGCAAGTGGATAAACAGTCAAAAAATCATTTGCTAGCTGGGCCCTCATCAGTATTTCCCTTGGTGATGGCTATTTCAGTTATGCCTACAGTAATTCTGGCCTCTAAAATAATAAGCCTTTTTTAAAAAAAAACTTTAAGTGACTCAAAACTATGGAGTCTGTCATCATATAACATATGCCAATATATGCATTCTGCTGTGATATCAGTGTATATATTTTACTATATGTACACACTATATACACACACACAATGCCTTGCTTGCAGAAATATTCTTAAAATACTATCTCTTASTGCCTTCTAATGGAGTTATTTGGGGGACTGCTTGTCAGACAGCAAAGTTTGATGGAGATCACTGGAAAAAGGCTACGTTGTCCCTTAGCTGAATGACAGGAAGATTGGGCAACACAAGCTCCATTTTTCAGAAGGGGAATTCAAAACTAAATAAATGTTGCATTGGCAGCAAGGAAACTCAGCCCTGCTGGTCACGGCGCTGGTCCAGCCTTGGAAATGAGCTGCAAGTCTCAGATTTGTGCAGGCTGCTAAACAGGATACCCTCTTTATTCATGCAGTACGAACCCGAGCTCAAATCCTTAATTGCCTAAGTTTTGCTACTGACCTCCACAAGATCTGGACTCTAAACTATCTTTTAGGACCTGGCTTAACAGATTTCTGCTGAGGATCTGGGACTGTTGTCATTGCAGTCATCTGAGATAAAGCTCCCAAGGGAAAATTCCCCTGAAAACTTTCCAGATACCTGAGTTCCTGCTGCAATCAGATGCTTGAAAGTGCTATGTCCCTATCAACTCTTGCAGAAAATGCAAGAGTGAGTGCTGCTTTGATTCACCAGTCCTTCTGGATACTGCTTTAACAGCTGACTGATGGCATTWCCATACTTTCTGAAAAGCAAAAAAACACCAGTGACCTTAGTAAAGTCCAGCATYGAAGTGCTTCAATGTTTCCAGCAGCTCAGCCATTGTAGCTTTGATTTGTTCCTTGGCTAAACTGACCACCGTGTACTGTATTATGTTTATCTGCAGTTCAGTGATAAAGTTCCCTTAATTCCCCCCTGAATTGAATTATTTAGGGCAATGCCACAGCTGTGTTTATTCTCACACTCCACCACAGTTATGTAAATACTGCATATGGAACTGTTTCTGATAAAGCCCCTACCAACCCAAAGGAATTACATGTTAGCTCTAGATGGCTGCCAAGATGCGCGGCATCTCTCCAGCTTGGCAATGCATATGAATGATATCACATTTTCTCAGAGATCATTTGGCAAACCTTATAATGAAAGTGTAATTTTCTCTCTCCTTCTCAAAGAGTTCCAACGAGCCAGAGAATATTTCCCGGCATCCCGTTTTCCACTTGCAGAACACGGGCTTGACACAAAACCCGAATCTTCCCAACGCTGTAACCTTGAGGATGAGAGCCCCAAGCTTGCTCCCTCAGTGGATCCAGGCACTTCGTTTCACAGAGGGTCACAGGTAGCTGAAAGCAAATGTTTGACACACCATAATCATTCCACATGTGATAAGGCCTCCTTGGGCAGCAGGGATCATTATCTAAGAAATACCKTTTATCAAATCTCTTAAAAGCACTTCTCCCACCAGCTGGCTTCAGACCAGATCAGTGATTTACACTTTGTGCCTGTGCCTTTTTCTGGGTCAGATYATGTATTCAGTGACTGATTAAAAGTGTGGAGTAAATCCCTTGAAGTTAATGATAAGCTGGAGCCAGAGTTATTCAAGACCATCGCACGACGTTGATTTTGCACTAGCACAGCCAAGAGCACAACTTCTAACTCTGAYTTTGCAAACTTAAAAAGCACTCAAGGGCCCAACTTCTCAGACCATTTCCCCCTTCAGTTGTCTTCAGAAATGCACATGAAACAGTGGGAAGTTTGTCCACTTCTGAGGGTAAAAATACGGGAAGGCTTCCAGTATATAAAAGGTTGGCCCCTCTGTAGCAGAGTCCTGCCAGTAGTTGCTGCCAGCTTGGCCTTAATAAAAGGAATATCAATGGAACTGCACAGCCTACAAGTAAGGAAAGGATGTGTCCCGTGCTGGAATCGTTCACATAGATGTGTGCTCACAGTGACCACTCTGTACAACATATCGCGCGCTGCCTTTCTCTAAGTAGAAAGATACATTTAATATTTTTTTAAATGTCCACAGACATTAAGAAGCAGAATTTGTTCCATATATTGCCAAAAAGCCTCTTCTTTCTCATCCTCTTCTTTCATGTTGTGGTTGTAATGGTGCTGAATTTTGATAATGTAGAAATACATAGTCCAGCCCTGTTCACTGTGGCTGGATTCAGCACCAAAAAAAGGGCAAAATGCTGTTTCAAGAGAAACTTAGTAACCAAGAACAGTTACTAGGGAAAAAAAAAGGAA